TGGAAATGAAGGGAAGATGGGAAATGGGACGGAGATTATTGAAATCATTGGGATCTGAACCAGGTTTTTTTAGAATAGGGCTGACTGAAGCGGATTTGAATAGGGAGGGGACCGTACCAGAGGATAGTGAGGAATGAATAATGGCTGTTATAAAAGGGAGCAGAGAGGAAAGGCAGGATTTAACTAAAACTGTTGGAATAGGGTCTAGTTGACAGGTGGACGGTTTGGATTTGGTGATGTAATCTAATAGTTCTGAGGGATGGGGAAGTTTAAAGGAGGAGAACTGAATGGAGGGTTCAAATAAATCATGAGGGAGGGGAGGAATGAGGTAAAGAGAGATGGATTCTATTGACCTTATCATTAAAAAACTGAAGGAGAGAGTTACAGGTTTCTGAAGAGTAAAGATGTATGGGTAAGGAGTCGGGAGGCTGAAAAATGCTGTTCATGATGGAAAATAATGTCTTAGTGTTGCTGGAGTTGGACGAGATGAGACCGGAGTAATACTGTGATTTGGCATGGGAGACGGAGTCCTTGTAGAGAGAAATCTGAGCAGAATAGAAGTCTTTATGGATGGTGAGACCGGTTTTCTTGTAGTCTTTCAAGCCTCATGTTAGTAGCTTTCAAGGAGCGTAGGGCAGGGGTGAACCATGGAGCAGACCAAATGAAATATACAGAGCGGGATTTGATGGGAGCAAAATAATTAAGGATAGAAACCAGACCGTTATTGTACTGAATGACAAGATCATCGGGAGTAGAGGACAAATTTGGGGTCAGGGTGGCAAAACTGAAGGACAGGGAGGCTAGATCAATGTCCTTAATATTACGAAATGAAATGATACGGGGTGACTTGATGATGGAGAGACGGAGGCGAACAGAAAAGGAGATGAGGAAGTGGTCCGTGAAAGGGAGCGGGTCAGCTGTACAGTTGGAGGGGGTTAAGCCGGAGCAGCAGATTAAATCCAGAGTGTGACCTTTAATGTGATTGGGAAAATTGGCATATTGATGAAAACTGAGGCTGTCCAAAGATGAGGAGAAGTCTTTGCTGAGGGGGAGGGCCGTATTGTCCATATGAATATTAAAATCACCAAGTAAAATTACATTTGGGGAAAGGGCGGACAGATGGGATAAAAGAGCAGAGAGTTCATTTAAAAACTCCGGGCTGAACTTGGGGGGACGACAAACAGTGACAATTATTGTGGGGTCGGGCCGGAGAGTTGACAGGCGAGGCATTCCAGAGTGGTGAGCGGAGGCAGGCTTAGGGGAAGGACCTTCCAAGTCTCGCGATAGAGTATTGCGAGACCACCGCCGCGGCCCGACCCACGTGGTTTGGAGAGGTAAACAAATCCGGGAGGAGTACAGTCATTGAGTTGTGAGAAATCACCGGGTTGTTGCCAAGTTTCGTTCAAACAAAGAAAGTCTAGCTTATGGTAACTGATGGTATCTTGGAGGAGATGTCCTTTACCAGAGAGGGAGCGAACGTTGAGAAGACCAAAATTAGCAGTGCGGAAGCCCCTGGCGACAAGAGCATTAGCCCGACTAGCCAGCCGGGCTAACACGCTGGAGTCGGCAGCTCGGCAGGTATTCCTGGGTAGCCGCCGACGAATCGTGGACCAGAAGGAGGGTATTCCTTTGGAGCCGTTGAGATGGAGGTTCCGCCGGGACCCCCAATGGATATACCGATTGCGAGGCTGGAAAGTGATGTCGGGGAAGAGGCACAGAGCTGGTGGTGGAGATCCACTGATCCACATGTTTGATCCAAAATCAAACATGTTCAGGAAACGCCAAACGGAGGAGGTGTGTTTTTAGGCGACTCTTAAAGACTGGCAGAAATGGGGACAGCCTAACTGAGGCTGGCAACTGGTTCCAGAGTGACGGTGCTAGGACTGAGAAAGTCCGGTCCCCGCGAGTACGACACCTAGAACGAGGGACAGCAAGCAGGCCTTGGTCAGAGGAGCGCAGAGCGCGTCATGGGGAATGTCTGTTCAGGAGTGTGGCTAGATGGGGGGACCACCACCCTGGAAGAAATGATAAACAAAGACGAGGATTTTGAATTGTGAGCGATAGCAAACCGGAAGCCAGTGCAGGGAGGCCAGAACCAGACTGATGTGGTCCCGTTTCCAGGTCCCAGTCAGGAACCTGGCTGTGCTGTTCTGCACAACCTGTAGGCGACGCAGTGATGACTGACACAACCCTGCATAGAGAGAGTTGCAGTAGTCAAGCCTAGAAATCACAAAGGCATGCAGTACCCGCTCCAGGTGGGCTCTCGACAGCATATGCTTGATTTTTGCAATCATCACACAAACATACACATAGGACCTTGGGGGGTGGACAAGTCAGGGAGTGCGGGTATGGACCCCATTTCCGCATTCCTGTGGCAACCTGCCCCCCAATTTTATTTGCACCTTATACACTTCCACTGACGACATTCCATGCAAACACACACTTAGGGCCTTGGGAGTGAGCACATTCAACGGCACATGGCAGGGGGATATCTCAGCCTCCTCACGGGTGCCGGTGCACACTTCCAATTTTAAACTGCACTTAGACACCGAGGGCTGTGGGTGCAAGTGGGGTGGTGCGGTGGCATTAGCTGGCATAGGCCAGACAATGCCCGCACTGCCCGCTCACCACACCCATGGAATACACCTCATGATCACACAACACTATATTGGAGCAGGCGGAGGGAGACTAACCCCCAAATTCCACTACCTCCGCTCCGCTCCGACACGAACGCCGGAGCAAAATCGGTCCCGTTCTAGTCAATCAGAGCTATTCCACTACTGCAGCCGTGCTCCGGCAGTGCGACGCCGTGCGCCGCCCTCTGTTCCGGCGTCCGGCAAAAATAGAATCGATCCTATTTTCGCCGGACGCCGGAGCACCTCCGCAGTAAATGGACAGAAATCACAACGGCCCAACAGGAAAAGGAGCAAGCACAATTTCCGTATTTCACAATAAATCGATAAACAAAAGGCGTTTTTTGTTTCATATGCACAGATTTAACAACTTTTAACAACTATCAATGGCGGCTGAAGTTTAAATGCACAAAAATAAGCCATAAATACAGTTTCCACTATCAAAGTAGACACACTTTGTTGATCCAAACACTGCTGATCTCTCAACACACATGATGGGCAGATTAAACTGTTCATGCCGATGCTTCTCCCACACAACGGGTGTTTGGATCTAACTTCCGCGTTTATTGCTTGGACTGTATCGCAAGATCTCGAAAATCCCGCGCATGCTTGTTTGCCCCCCTCAGGTCTCCGCACCGGAGCGGAGCCGTTGTAGAGCGGGTAGCAGTAAAAATTGAGTTCGGAAGCGAGCGGCTGCGGAAGGCGGGGGCGGTCCGGAGCGGAGCGGAGGTAGTGGAATTTGAGGGTAAGGGTCTTAGCACACCTCTGTTGTTGCTTGGCTTCCTGGGGCTGGAGGCTAGGAGAGATATCTGGCCATCTGTTTGGGGTCTGGGGTGGTGGGTTGCTGTGCTCAGCGTTGGGCTGGGGAGCCTGCTCATCAGCACTCCAGCAGAAAGGGTCAAACTCTGGTAACCGGTGATGGTTGTACCCAATGTGCAGCAGTACCGGGACCAGAGTGAATAGGGTGTGTATGGGGAGCATGAGTGGGTGTCCGGCGTGCATTTTTGTAAGTCTTGGGTTGTATGTGCATGTGTGAGCATGAGGGAGTGAGTGTGTGACTGTGTTTGTGTACGACTGTATATGTCAGGTGGGGCCTTTGACTCCTCCCCTCTCCTGGAACTTCTTTTGATGATATAGATCTTCGTCCCCCCTCCCTCTGCCACACATGGTGTGGGGTGTGGTACCTTGGTCTGCCTGAGTGTTCGTGGCTCCCGAGTCAGGGGGTTTAAGATTTTTGGCATCTTTCTGATCAATCCCGGTGGCTGCCTGGTGGGGTCTGGGTCCCTGGGCTCTGCTGGGTCCCCGGCGGTGGTGGTCACCCCTGGGTCCCGGGTCGCTGGGTCTCGGGCTCGGCCGGCTAGGGGGTGGGAGGCTGCGGGCAGGCCTGTGGGCTTGCCGCTGATATCTCCCGGGACTCTGCCGGCTGCTGGTTGTGGCCCACCGGGGCGATCCTCTATGCCTCTCGAGGGGGGCAGGGGCCTTTCTGGTTGCAGTCTCCTTGGGGTTCCTGTGTTCTGGGGCAGCGCCTGGATCTCTGGGACTTGGAGCTCCCCCCGTCTCCTACACATCTTAGGGAGGCAGATCTGTGGTCCCTCACACTCTCTGTTGGACGCTCCTATAGAGAAACCTTACATAAACAAGCGCGTACACACACAGGTGCTCACATGGTGCTCTCAAAAGTATGGGCTTGGGCACGTTAAACACAGGTCTTAAGACTATGGTGGGCACTTAATGCACTGTGATTTGTTATCGTGTGATTGTTCAGTTGAACAATGTTGATTATATATTTTTTCATCAATTTGACGCAGTGATAACTTGATCTTGTTGTATTGTTGTTGTGTCCGATTTTTTTGTTCTTTTGCTTTTTTTTCTTGTCTTTTTCTGCAGGTCTAGAAGCAGACTCTTGTTCATTATTGTTTATTTTTGTGGAACCCCCCACCCCCTTCCCCCTCTCTCCCCACCTTTTCATTCCTTTCTCTTTCACCTCTGACTCCGTGTCTGGTCGGAATTACAAAGCATTCAAAAACAATAACAATAAAGGTTTAAGTATCAGGCGTGACATTAAAAGCAGACGCTTTGATGCTCCACCTGAGAGTAAATCTGTAAGGCTTGTTACCAGCATTCAGGCATCAATTCTGTTTGCTTCACAGCCAGACAGGACACGGTAAAAGAAAAAAAAAAAAAAAAAAGAAATCCGCTTCAGTGTAACATGAAATGCTGTTAACAAAATGTTAAAAAGCCAGCGGGGTAAATTCTGGCAAAGTCAAGAACTTGTTTACATCGGTGAACAGCGGCAGAGAGAACTTCTGTCATGTTCCTGGGAATGTGTTTAACCCACGACATGAAGAATCATCACATGAAACAGTGGGAAGTTCAAAACAATGATTTATTGCAGGAATCTAACAAAAAGTGTCCCTGGAATAGTCCCAGATTAGCTGGAGCCAGAGAGAGTCCAAAGTTCTGCAGGTGGAGGAGGTCGAGGAGGGCAGGTGGGGTGAAGGAGTGAGTCCAGGAGAGGGAGCCAGGCGGAGTGGCAGAGGATAAGAGGAGAGGTGAACTGTGAAGTCCAGGTAGGTTATGGTTCTTTCCAGGTGAGTAATCCAGTACTGGTTCCGCTTCTCGGATGGAGGATCAGATCCAACAAACCCAGAGCGTCAGGGAAGGTTGTCCAGGAATCCTGGAGAGAAATACAAACTTAAGTCCAAAAAGATCCAACACAAGAATCCAGGAATTATCCAAAAATTTCCAATAACTGTAACAGCAAATTATCAGAGTAGAAACCAAGCATTATCCTAGAACGAGAGGCCAGATACTACCGTGAGTAGCTAATCATCCAGCGAAGTGTTGTAGTTCCCTCTCCTCTTAAATAGAGCTCTGCTGCGGATGACCTGAGGAGCTGCAGCTGCCGCTGATTACTAATGCCCCGCAGCTGGTGAGTTCCCTCTCCTGAAATGAAGAACTCAAAGATGTTATAGAGATGCGGAGTACTCACCCCACCACACAACAACTTCAGCTAACAATGATAAGCTAGCACTCATACCACTCTCTGTGATCCCCACCTAGGTGCGCTACTTCTTATGATAACTGAACTAGGCTTGAACTAGTAGAAGGAATTCTAAAAGTAGCAGAAAAAAAACAACATCTATTATAGGCTCTACTTTTTCCTTTGTTTAGTATTCATGTCGGTCACTGTTTACACGCATTTGCCAACCAATATGGTAGACCTACGTGATTAAGTGACATCAGCGCAAATGGTAAATTTTAGAGGGGATCCAGCGTGCATGCACCAGTTAGCATAGGTCTATGGTAGAGATCGCTGCGCCCAAAAGTAACAAGATGATTAGGCAGTGTTAAAAGTGTAAATAATGTATTTAAGCTACACTTAAATGCAGATTATACACATCACCTATAGTCTATATAATGTATAGGTCATTTAATTTAATTTTCATGGCATTTTTTTTATTATTTTTTTGAATTTTGTGATTCTTCCTCTTCCTGTGAGACTGGTGGGGCGGTGCCCTAGCGCCCCCTATGGACGAGAAGCCACTGCTCCTCACCCTATCTCTAAGGGAGAGCCCAGACACCCTGCAGAGAAAAGTAATTTTAGCCGCTTGTATCTGCAATCTCATTCCTACGATCAAACTTCATGACCATAGGTTAGGGATGGAGCATAGACTGGTAAATTGAGAGCTTCACCTTTCAGCTCAGCTCTCTCTTTATGTAGACACAGCGCAATTCACCTATTGATTTCCTGCTTCATTTTGTCCTGAACAAGGACGATGAGACAAAATATAAAAGACCAATCGAAAACTTTTGGCACACAGCTGCTGGTTAGTGACAGCTTGGACACTAGCTTTGTGTCATTGGTGCACAAATGTATTCAAATTAGCACCTTCCTAGTAATAAAACCTTCTGTGATCTTTAAATCTAAATTTGCATGGTAAATTTTGGGATTAATAAAACTGGAGTGAGCGGCTAAGTTAAACTGCCTTTTAGAACAAACCTTGGTTCTCTCATACATAAAACAGTTTGATTTTCCCCACAAAGAGGGGATCTAGCTATTTGCCCTTAAGGTCAGGCTCTTAACACGCATAGGTGCTCACATCTTTGTGGGGAAATGACACTGAAATTCATGCCTCACTTTAAATTCAACTATAAAACAATCATGCAGCACAGCTTAGAGAGGAAATGTGTAGAGTAGTCAAACTGTGGTACGTGAACCACAAATAGTACTAAAGCTTTCTTTGGTAGCAGCCAAAGTAGGTGAATTACTGTCCCTATGATGGCAAGCTAAGAAGTGCAGAAGAAAATGACTGTTTTTAGTTTATTATGCTCCTGACTCCAAATGGAAACAACTAAAAAGGGAGATGCAGCAGAAAATATTATGTCTGGACTTGATTAAACTGTTGTTATAGTTTTACATACAACTTTGTTAACTGGCAACCTTCCTACAGTCGCAATGTCAGTGTGTAATAAGAGCTACCTGTCACTGACGACAGCTTCACATGTTCTATACTTCTGTCTACATTAAACATAAGGTTAATGTAGACAGAAGTATAGTATAGGTTAGTTATTTGAGACAAAGTGCAGTTCAGAAGACTTCAGGGAAGTGAAATCAACGAGCCAGAATACCCGGGCCGGAGAGTTATCGGGGTCCCACCCTGGAACCAGGCCTGGGGATGGGGCCTGTGAGAGAGCGCCTGGTGGCTGGGCTTTTGTCCATGGGTCTCAGCCAGGCCCAGCCCGAACTGGATACATGGGCTCATCCACCTGTGTACTCACCACCTGCAGGAGGAACATGAAGGTTCCGGTGCAATGTGGATCGGGTAGCAGACCAAGGCAGGTGCTTTGGCGGTCCGATCCACGGACACAAAAACTGGCTATTGGGACGTGGAACGTTACCTCTCTGGCGGGAGAAGGAGCTGGAGCTTGTGGAAGAGGTTGAGCTGTACCAGCTAGATATAGTCAGGCTCACCTCGACACATAGCATGGGCTCTGGATGTTGTATGTCGGGGTGAGTACTCCTCCTTCTCTACAACATCTTTGTGAGATCTTCATTCCAGGAGAGGGCACTCACCAGCTGCGGGGCATTACCAATCAGCGGCAGCTGCAGATCCTCAGATCAACCGCAGCAGAGCTCTATTTAAGAGGAGAGGGAACCACTTCACATCGCTGGATGATTAGCTACTCACGGTAGTATCTTGCCTCTCTCAAGTCTTAGGTTATGCTTGGTCTCTGCTCAGACATTTTTGCTGTCGCAGTATTTGTATGTATTTGGATTTTTTCTTGGATTCTTGTGTTTGGACCATTTTGGACTCAAGTTTGTATTCCTCTTCAGGATACTTGGAAACGCTGAACCATTGATGGAATATACCTACTTGGAACTCACCATAACCCGCCTGGACAACAACTCTCACGGTTCGCCTCTCCTCCTGTTCCTCCTATCCTCTGCCGCCATCATCTGGCTCCCTCTCCTGGATGCACCCCGTCACACCATCTGCCCTCCCTACTGACTTCTGGACTCTTTCTGGCTTCATTGGACTTGGATATCTCCAGGACACTTTTAGTTAGGTTTAATAAATCATTGTTTGAACTTTCTGCCGTTGTTTTGTGATGATTCTTCATGTCGTGGGTTAAACACCTTCCCAGGGACATGTCACTGGAACCCAAGACCTTGAGAGGGTTTGGACTCTCTTTTGTGCTGGAGTTGCTCCAGGTGAGAGGCAGAGGGCTGGAATGAGCTTTCTGTTAGCCTCAAGACTCTCTGCTTGTATGTTGGGGGTTTCTCCGTGGGACTTCAGGTCAGGAAACAGGTCCTGACTGTTGTTTGTGCTTATGCACCAAATAGCAGTTCAGAGTACATTTATGGAGTCCCTGGGATGAGTACTAGATGGTGCTCCGACTGGGGAATCCATAGTCCTGCTGGGGGACTTCAGTGCTCACGTTGGCAATGATAGCATGACCTGGAGTGGCGTGATTTGGAGGAACGGCCCACCCAATCTGAACTTGAGTTGTTGTGGCCAAACTGCAACTTGAGCAGAAGTCCAATAACAGAACACCATGTTCAAACATAGGGGTGCTCATTGGTATACCTGGTACCAGGGCACCCTAGGTTACAGGTCAATGATTGACTTTGTTGTTGTACTGTTGTTGTTGTATCTGATCTGAGACCGTATGTTTTGAACACTCGTAAAAAGAGGAGCAGAGCTGTCAGTTGATTACCACCTGGTGGTGAGCTGGATCAGATGGCAGGGGAAGATGCTGCGCAGACCTGGTAGACCCAAACATATTGTGAGGGTCTGCTGGGAATGCTCCGCAGATGAACCTGTCCAGATGGTCTTCAGCTCCCACCTCCGGCAGAGCTTTGACCACGCCCTGAGAGCAGTGGGGGACATTGAGTCCGAATGGGCCTTGTTCCGCTCTGCAATTGTTGAAGCGGCTGTTGAGAATTGTGGTCACAAGGTGGCCGGTGCCAGTCCTGACAGTAACCCCCATACCTGCTGGTGGACACCAGAGGTTAGGGGAGATGTCAAGCTGCAGAAGGAGGCCTACAGGGCGTGGCTGGTCTGTGGGTCTCCAAAGGCAGCAGACGGGTACCGGAGGGCCAAGCGGGGTGCAGCAGTGGTAGTTTCCAAGGCAGAATCTCGGGTGTGGAGTAAGACTATGGGGAAAGAATATTGATCGGCTCAAAACGGTTCTGGCAAACCATCCAGCGCCTCAGGGGAAGAAGGCAGCAACTTGCTCACACTGTTTACAGTGGGGATGGAAAGCTGTTGGCGTCAACTGGGGCTATAGTCAGGCGGCGGATGGAATACTTTGAGGAGCTCCTCAGTCCCACCAAGACGCATTCCAAGGAGCAACCAGAGTTGGGAGACCTGGGGGTGGACTGTCCAATCTCTGGGGCAAAAGTCGCTGAGGTAGTCAAACAACTACGCAGCGGCAGAGCCCTTGGGGTGGATGAGATCCGACCTGGGTATCTCAAGGTTTTGGATGTTGTACTGTCTTGGTTGACATGTTTCTGCAACATGCGTGGTCATCGGGGGCAGTTCCTGTGGAGTAGCAGACCTGGGTGGTGGTTCCAATTTTTAAAAAGGGGACCAGGGGCTGTGTTCCAGCTATAGGAGGAGTACACTCAGCTTCTCTGGAAAGGTCTACTCCAGGGTACTAGAAAGACGGGTCTAGTCAGTAGTTGAATCTTAGATAGAGGAGAAGCAATGTGGTTTTCGTCCTGGCCATGGAACTGTGGACCAACTCTTTACCCTTGCTAGGGTGATGGAGGGGTCAAGGGATTTTGCCCAACCAACCAACTTGTGTTTTGTAGATTTGAAGAAGGCTTATGACCGTGTCCCCAGAAGCACCCTGTGGGGGGCAGTCCAGGAGTATGGGGTGGATGGTATTTTGCTAAGGGCCATTCAGTCCCTGTACCAGAGGAGTGTGGTCCACTTAGCCGGCAGTAAGTCGGACCTGTTCCCAGTGAGGTTTGGACTCCACCAGGGATGCCCTTTGTCACCGGTCCTGTTCATAACATTTAAGGACAAGATTTCTAGGCACAGCCGTGGTGTTGAGTGTGTGGAGTTTGGTGGCAGGAGAATCTCACCTCTATTTTATGTGGATGATGTAGTCCTCCCAGCTTCATCAGGCTCTGAACTACAGCTCTTGCTGGGGAGATTTACAGCTGAGTGTTAAGCGGCTGAGATGAGGATCAGCACCTCCAAGTCTGAGACCATGGTTCTCAACTGGAAAAGGGCGGCTTGCCAACTCCGGGTCGGGAGAGAGGTTCTGCCTCAAGTGGAGGAATTAAAGTATCTCTGGGTGTTGTTCACGGGTGAGGGAAGGAGGGAGCAGGAGATTGACAGGCGGATTGGGGCAGCATCTGCAGTGTTGCGGACACTGAACCGGTCTGTTGTGGTGAAGAATGAGCTGAGCCGAAAAGCAAGGCTCTCGATTTACCAGTCGATCTACCGCCCAGTCCTCACCTATGGTCATGAGCTTTGGGTGATGACCGAAAGAACAAGTTTGTGGATACAAGCGGCCGCAATAGGCTTTCTCTGCGGGGTAGCTGGGTTCAGCCTTAGGGATAGGGTGAGGTGTTCGAACATTCGGGAGACACTCAGAGAAGAGCTGCTGCTCCTCCATATCGAGAGGAGTCAGTTGAGGTGGTTTGGGCATCTTGTAAGGATGCCTCCTGGACTCCTCCCCAGGGAGGTGTTTCAGGCATGTCCTGCTGGCAGGAGGCCACCTGATTGACCCAGGACACGTTGGAGAAAGTATATCTTGAACTGGCCCAGGAACACTTTGAGGTCCAACCGGAGGAGCTGGTGGAGGTGGCTGGGGAGAGGACAGTCTGGGATGCTGCCCCCGTGACCCGGACCAGGATAGGCAGAAGGAGATGAGACGAGACAGTTAATTGTTGTGTACTGTACTGAAGACTTTTGTATTGGAGCTGTATCTGTTGAACACAACACACATGGAACTGGTTACACCCTGGAATATATGTGAAACAACTTTGGGAGGCATTTGAGTAAAAAACAGAAAAAGGTGGGAAGTCAATTGCAAGCAAACTGAGACATAATTAATACACTTTGTAAGTATTTTGCAGTAAGAAATTTTGCATGATCATCACAAAATCTTTGCTAATTGTTTACTGTTGAGACATTTTCAAATTTCCAGACCATAAGTACATACCAATTCTGTGTGATTCCAATATATCTTTAAAAAATATTTTTCTGCAATAGAAAACAGCTTAGGTCTGCATGGCTGAGAAAGCAAAAATTAAAAAATTAACAAACATAACATATCCATTAATCTTCCTTTAAATGTGCTTTTGTCTGTTAATGTTTGTAATAAATGTTAGAACAGGGTAGATCTACACTTTTACCTAGAGATCATCTTTAAAGGCGCAGTATGTAAGAATATTGTGAGACTTTCACAGTGACAAAATGCCCAAAGAGTCTAATGTTTCAGTCATTTTGGAAGGAAGGTTATACTGAAACATATTTCATTTCCAGCTGGCTGTGGGGATTGTCAGGTTGTGTACTTCAGAACAAAGGAGAGAGGGACGTAACTACTGTTAACCATCAGAGAGTGTGGGATTGCCGTGTCTCCTACAAGTTAATACTGCAGGGCCAACAAATATAATTTGGCTACGGCCCACAAAAGCAGTAACCAAATTTGACCACAGAATGCCATTTTTACTTAATTTCTACATAATGCACCTTTAATCTGGGACAAAAAAAATGACAAAAAGAACTAAATCAATGTAATGAATTAGATTACGTGTTATTTAATGAGCCATAAGGCGTGGGATTCTATAGGAAATATGAAATCCACCTTACGGATCTGTGAGTTATTTAAACCAGAAGACTGGATCTTTTTATTGCAGGGATTAGATAACCGCTCCGTATTCACTCAGAGACAACAGAAGAGAGAGAGAGTCAAGTTTAAAAGTTAAGAATTTTATTACTAACAAATTAAACTAGACTGACTTTAAAACTAAATGTATGGTGTAACTAAAATGGATGAGACGGTGAATGGATGATGTGTGATGTTAAATCAGAACCAGCAAATCCGAAGAAGCGATTGGTTCTGACGGGAACTGAAGGTGTTGATTTCGCATTAAGCTTTGCTTAGGAGGTCCATAAACACATGAGACACCATTATGTCGGTCTACCTACCCTTCGGGAAGTCCTCTGTAGATCCGGAATGTCGAGGTCTTAGCTTGACCCTCTCTGGAACCGAGCCGGTAGGAAAAGCAACGGTTCTGACCAGACCGGTCTTTGAGTTACTTCCGGTCCGGGTACACGACAAGTTGTTGGTGTCTGGTGAGACCCAAGCCTGGGTCTGGATGGTTCAGCTTTTGTTCTGAAAGGAACTGTTGCCGCTGTTGGTATAGCGACAAATTTTTCAGCCTGTCATTGTTCTTTCGGTTAAAGAGTTTTAGATCAGGATTGGCCACTCCGTCACTTTCTCTGGAACGCTTTCAACTGGCATTAGAACTGACATGGCATAGTTTTATACTTCGAGTGTTATGGTTTATTGTCGATTGAAAAATTACCTAACACCATCAAAACCACGCCTCCGTCACATCTGTAAGATTCTGATTGGATCAGTGAAAGTAATGTGTTATGTCTTTTTAACACTACGTGAAATGAGTCCTGTTGGAACACTTAAAGTCACAGTACCTTTATATTCTATAGGATTATAATAAGGTAATTAATATTTTGATTTCACAGATCGGTCACATCTTATTTATTGACTAACTGATAGATTAGCTTTATTAAAATAGTTATTTGATTAATTTAAAAAAAAGAGTTCATTCTTCATTCTTCTGTTCTGAAAATAAGCAGGTTAGAAGGAATGCATGAGACCTTGAGATCATATCTCATGCAGACTAGTCTTGAGCAAAGAAGGGAAAAAAACAGTCATTCCGTTCCGTTATGTCAATTATTTTGAATTCTGGTACTTTATGAAATATTGGAAGATTCCCTTTGTGCTGACAAAACTAAACTTTCTGTGACCCGTTCTGGTAAAAGCTTGATGGTCGACAGGGGCCGTTTAAAGGTATGCCTTTTTGTGCTCCAGTATTAAGATGAGGGTACTCCTCAGCTAGGGCAATCTTATGGTAATTTAACTGGTGCATACATGGATTTCACATTACCGTATTTTCCGAACTATAAGCCGCTACTTTTTTCCCCACACTTTGAACCATGCGGCTTATAATGAGGTGCAGCTTTACTGAAGATTTTCCTTCACCTATCAGGGGGCGCTTTAGCAGAAAGTGAAACAGGTGGAAGTCAAAAGTGGAAATTGAAGAAAGTGCTCATTTTAATTTAGCACATGCAAGCAGCCGGCACGACGAAGATTTTTTTTTCAAATCCATACCCCCTTATCATGAAAACTACAACGTATGAGTTCATATGATGCCGCATTTAAGTTGAAGGCCATCGATCTGGCAGTAAAGGCGGGAAACAGTGCTGCCGCATGTAAGCTTGGCATGAATGAATCCATGGTTCGGCGCTGGAGACGGCAGCGGGAAGAACGTTGGTTACGAATTGTAACCCCAGATTCTATGAGTCTAGTCACAGCCCTTAACTCATTCACTGCCAGCTGTTTCCTGATCACTAACGTCCTTCGCTGCCAGCGTTTCTCACAGTTTTTACTGTATTTTAAGAGTCACAGAACGTTGCGCGCTAGGATGATGTCGATGCCAAAACAACCAAAACAAAGAGACTCAACTCTTACATTAGTAAGAAGCCGCGTGTTTCGAGCATGATTCCGTTCTTTCATAATCCGTTGTCGAATTGTGATCGGCAGACACTTTTCCGGTTCGCGCCTCACTTTTTTTTTACAGGAACAGCCCAAAACGATCTCCAAACACATGGATGTGTTGCTTCCTGATCATGTGATCTGTGAAGTATGCGGATGAAGATGGGCTTCAGGGCTGAGATGTTTGTTCTATCAGCGCGGGGGCTCGTTCCGATGCTTAAACAGTAAAAAAATGCAAATGACGACTTTAGTCGTCATTGGCAGTGAACGGTTGGATCTAAAATGACGTTTTTAGTTGTCAGTGAATGAGTTAGGCTAGCTGCTATTGGAAGGATGATCTCAGCATCAGCCAATCATGAAGAGGTTAAATGTATGCCCACCAGTGGTGGGCACCCCTGTGGGTATATAAGTGGAGCGACTCCACTGTTCGCCTCCTATGGCTCTTAGTCCTAACAGAACCAGTGGGGCCAGTGGCTTAAGGGCTGCGACTAGACTCATGGAATCTGGGGTTACAATACGTAACCAACATTCTATTTCGTCTAGTCTTAGCCCTTAAGCTAGCTGCTATTGGAATAATGCACAGCTGGATGGGTTTATGCCACACTGGTTAGCTCAACCAATGAACACACCCAACATGTCTCCTTTTAGTGAGGGACGCTCAGCCTCAGCCCAGGGCTTAAAAGGCTGAGGCAACCAGAGAGAAGAGTGGGGCCCCACTAAAATTATCATCCACAAGAGGTTGAAATTCATTCAAGCAAGGCTGATGTGGTGCCATAATGCCTTCACTCAGCCTGCTGAGGTCCAAGCACTGAACAAGTGATGGATCCTGAAGACACATCTCGTAAATAATAACGAGTAAAGGAACTGGGTGACGCCCATGAAGCAGCCTGACAAATGTCTTCAATCGACACACCACTGTGGAGCGCCATAGAAGAGGAAATCCCTCTGGCTGAGTGAGCCCTGAGTGTCTCAGGAGGATCCCGCCCTGATGATGTGTAAGTGAGTGAAATGGCGTCACACAGCCAGTGTGAAAGACGCTGGGTCGACAGCGCTTGCCCAGGGGAAGAATCTCTGTAGAGCACAAACAGGCTTTGTGAGCGGCGAATCCCTGAAGTGCGTGACACATATCGTGCAAGCGCGCGCACCGGGCAGAGAAGGTGGGAAGCCGCCTCCTCATCAGAATTTTGGGGAGGAGGAAAAAGTCCAGCCAATGAAATTGGCCTGGATTTGAAGGAAGTATTAATGTCTTTGGGCACAAAGGCTGGGTTGGGGAATAAAACAACAGACCCGCCATCTTCCCGGATCCTGAGGCATGCGGGAGCCACTGAGAGGGCGGTTAGGTCACTCACTCTCTTGACTGATGCCAGCAGCAAGGCAGTTTTGAGTGACAGGAACTTTAGTGAGACCTGCTCCAAGGGTTCAAATGGGGCTTCAGATAAACTGCACAGAAGCACCGTTAGGTCCCACTGGGGAAATAACAGGCGGGACACAGGTCTGCTCCTTCTGACACCTTTTAGAAAACGTTTTGTGAGGGGATGATTGAAAGCAGATCTATCTCCAAACCCCTGGTGACAGGATGAGATAGCTGCAGCATATGTTTTAATAGTGCTGAATGCGAGGCCCCTGTCCATCAGTGTCTGCAGAAACGATAGGACATCCGCCAGCTGGCAGGAGAGTGCTTGAACATTCTGCTCTGTGCACCATTTCTGGAAAGCTGCCCATTTAGCAGCATAAGATGTGACGGTAGAAGGCGCCCGCGCACTCTGAATCGTGGCAACCACATCATGCGGCAGCCCAGAAGCCTCTAAGCGTGACCACTCAGCGGCCAGACCCACAGCCGTTGGCCTATTTCTGGAGGATGTTTGATTATCCCATCCGCCTGGAGAAGGGTGTCCGCCCTCCATGGGAGCCTCCACGGGGAGCCGGACACTAGCGGTTGCAGCGTCTGGGAGCTACCAGAATTACCGAGAGCTGTTCCGACCGAACTCATTCCAGGAGACGGGGAATCAGTGGGACTGGCGGAAACGCATACAGGAGCGTCTGAGGCCAGGGCTGGTGTGAGAAGGCATCCGCTCCGAGTGGGGGGTGGTCCCGGGGACTCAGGGAAAACCACAGGCAACACTGAGCGTTTTTGCGAGCCGCGAACAGATCCACAGAGAGATCCCCGAACTTGATCCAAATCTGTGATATCAGTGCGGGATGCAGACGCCAGTCGG